TTTTTTTTACTTCCAAAGGCTTCTTTCTCCTCCCCCCAAAAAAGGGAGGTCCAGCAATCCAAGTCCCAGCAAATATATTATCCACAGAAAACAGAGTCCCACGCAGTCTAAGAATATATATCCAAAAGGAGAAAAGGTCCAAAGTGAACAGCTTACAGCAGAATTTATTCTTTCAAAGCCTGTCCAGTGTTAATTCTCTAGGAGTTTTTTTCTTTAATAGAGACACGTGCTGTTTCTGCCTGACTGTTCCCTTAAATCAGCTCGACCTTGAATCAGCTAAATACGCCGCTCCTTATCTCATTTCGGTCATAAATTTTCACACATTCACTTGTTCTTCATTTTAATGGGGTTTTTCATAGAACAAGGGCTTCCACTTACTTTGTTATATATTTTCGCCATGCTTCTTGTTCTCTTATTCTCGGCGGACGGAGCTGTCTTGGCTGATTGCCAAAAATGGCGCCCGTCTTCGGTCCGTGCTTATGTGAATTTCCAGAAGAAAGAAAAATCAAGTTGCTGCCCAGTCTTCTAGCTTCTGTAGCTCACCAAATGCTGCAGAAGGGTCTCTCCTGACCCCCCTCAGTTTCCCCATTTCTAGGGGGATCCCAGACTGAAGTGGTTCTAGCTTCTCCGGGAGCTGTTCCCAAGAGCTGCTAGCTTCACCAGGACGTAGCTCCTCCTCCAGGAATTTGCAAATTTTGAAACATTGCTAATGTTAGTGGCCTCCCAGTCCCAAGAACTGCTGGATGAAATTGGTTATCTGAATCTATTTCAGTCTGGCTTCAGATCTGACTATGGAATGAGGGTAGCTTTGATCTCCTTGGTGGATGACCTATGCTAAGAATTAGATGGGATAATGCATTTTTGTTAGTTCTGCTGGATGTCTTGACATGCCATTGCTTCTTTTTGTCAGTAAGATAGTGTTGTCTGTATATCTTAAATTATTGATATTTCTTCCAGCAGTTCTCAGTCCTCCTTCATCTTAATCTAGTTGGACATTCTGTATGCATACAGATTTAACAGATAGGGAGATAAAATACATCCTTGTATTCGCGAAGGCTTTCACAGCCGGGATCTAATGGTTGTTGTGGGTTTTTCAGGCTCTTTGGCCGTGTTCTGAAGTTTGTTGTTCCTAACGTTTCGCCAGTCTCTGTGGCCAGCATCTTCAGAGGACTGTTCTCTGAAGATGCCGGCCACAGAGACTGGCGAAACGTTAGGAA